CGGCCGTCCCGCCCGGAGGCGCCCCGCGCCGTTTCCGGAGACTCGCGGCTTCTGCCCCGGCCCACCGCGGACCCTGCGTCTGGGCGCCCCACCTCCCCGCATCTCCTTTCTCTGCCACCGCCCTGCCCGGCGTTCCCTGCCCCCGTAGCTCCCCCAGCGGCCCGGTGGCACCTGGGAGGTGTCCGAAGCGGCTTGGATTCCGCATTCACCCCGTGCCGAGTGCCCGGCTCGCTGGGGTCCGGGCGGAAGACAGCTGCCCCCGTGCGTAGAAACAGGCGCCGCACCAGCCCGGTTAGGCATGCTTCTGTCCGCACAGCAAGCCTGCAGGGTAGGTGCTCGCTCGCTCTGTCGTACGAAAGGAAAACCCGAGGCCTAGAGAAGTTAACTTGCCCAGGATCGCACCGCTAGGGAGGGCGTGCAAAGACAAGGTCGCTCTGTGTTCAGGAGCACGCTGCATGGGGCGCAGCGGGCAGGGGCACGGGCAGGAATAGTGCAGAACAGGTGAGTGTTCCCTGCACTGAGGTAGACATGCTTGCGAGGCGGGGGAAGCAGAGGGCACGGGCTGCCCTTGCCGTCCGCACCCCTCCCGCCTGAGCCTCTGTGATTTGAGCTGGGCTCGCAGGGAAGGCTAGGATTTCAGGCGGGGAGGACGGCTCCCGGCTCAGGGAGAGGCGGCAGTGCTCGCCTGTTCAAGGAACGGAGAGGTGTCCTTGCACCTGAAAAAGAGGGCTTTGGTCGGGAGGCTGCAGGAGAGAGGGGGCTGAGGGAGTGTTGGAAGGGGGTCCAACGCCTGGACTTCCACCACATGGGCGAGGAGCTGTTGAAGAATCTGGGGCTCTCTTACCATCAGCTCCTCTCAAGCACAGAGGTTTCGGCTTCCCTGGCAGGAGTCGGGACAGCCCCGTATTGTCCAGCCACCGTTTAATAAGGAGCTGGGCTTGAGCAGAAAGAGTCGCCACCTCCCACCAGGTAGTGTGAAAGCCTTACCCAGGGCCAGGTTAAAGTGGTAAGAAAACGGGAAGGGTGGGGGGAGGCCTCATTGTTTACAAAGTAGGAGTTTACTCAGGCCCTTTCTGCAATGCAAAGATGGTCATGATGGCCGACAGGTGCACTTGGAGGCTGGGTGAGTAGGACTTAAGTGGATGGGGAGCTTCTGGACCAAACTCTTGGAGGCTGGGATCATGATGGGGACAGGCGGGGGGTTGGGGGGGGGGGGCGGAGGTGCTAGCCCAGTGCAGTCCCTGCAGCCTCTGAAAGGCAGGAGTGCCACACACATCCAGCTTTCTGCCTGTCCAGTTCCTCTGAGGCCCAGCCAGAGCTCTTTCTTCTTCAGGTCAGAGGTCATCTGGTCCAGCCTCCCTGCAAACAGCCAGATCCTCTGGCCCCTGCTCAAACTCTCCTGTCACTTGTTTTCTGAGGTGTCCACCCATGTTCTGGTGCTCAGTGACTTTCCCTAGGTGCATCCACACTGGTTCCTAGTAGTCACTTCTTTATTTTGCAAATAGTCACTTACCATTTGTTTAGGAGTCATTTCCAGAATGTTGTAAGGTACTGTGGGTCCTCAGGCAACAGGCACGCCAGGAAGAGGCATGAATAGTGAGGACCGCCCCCCGCACCCCAACACACACACTGACTTGTGGGTGAGTCAGGTGGTCCAGCCCCCACCCAAAGCAAAATCTGCCCTTTCCTCAGTGTCCCCAACTGCCAGTCAATCAAGCCACTGTGTGAACTTTCCAGAGACAGGAAAGTCAGCTGCATGGGGAGGCTCCACGTCTGTGGGATGTTGCTGCACACGCCAAAGTGAAACCTAATGGCGTTGTCTTACCTTCCCCTCCAATCTGTAAGGTGTGTCACAGCCTGGAGCAGCTACAAGAATGTCTGAGACACACACAGAAAAGAATGTCTGAGACCATAATTCTCCTCTTGGGAGGAGCAGTAGGAATAGTGACAGAAAAAGTCAGACTCTTGAGGGGCCTCCAGGACTCTTGTTATAGCAAAAAGCCTAACTTGGCTGGTGGAGATTTGCAATAATGGTGATTTTTAATTTGGGGGGGGAGGGTGGTAACTGGGTAGGGAACCAAATCAGATTGTCCTGTGGGGAGAGGAATTAACCACTAGGTTTTATGTTTATTAAAAAGAGACACAAGCTGCTTTTTAAAAAGCAGTTGAGCAGCACTCTTGTTTGTGCCGTTTCAGTGAAGCAGCTGGGTTGTTTTTTTGCTAGGTCATCATCAGTAGAGGTTCTTGTGCGATTATGATGGGAAGTGCTGGCTGGCCTCTAGTAAACCTGCAGTTTACCATTTCTCCACTAAAACACCCAGTAGTGCTCAGTCATCATTTGTTTAGCAGAATTGCACTGGGCGCCTGCCGCAGGCCATGCGCCATGCTGTAAAAAGGGCCTGTGCAGCCTTCAGAGGTCATACAGGAGGGTGCAGGAGATAAGGATAGGGCAGTGAATGCCACCATAGGGGTCTGCATGGCGTGCTGCAGAGGCCTGGAGGGATGGCAGCCACCCAGACTTGGGTGATGTGTAAGACACCCAGAGGAGGTGATCGTTAGACTGAAACCTGGCATGTGGCCCAGGGCATCCCCACTTTTCACATGTGGGTTCCCACCCCTATTCCAGCTCCCCCACACCAAAGACAGCTGGGCTCATAGAACATGACTGGTAGAATGATCAATGCTGGTCTCTCTTTGTTTCTGGAAGATTTCTCCCTGGACAATGGCAGCTACCATTCAGGCAATGGAGAGGAAGATCGAATCGCAGGCTGCCCGCTTGCTCTCCCTAGAAGGTCGAACAGGGATGGCTGAGAAGAAGCTGGCCGACTGTGAGAAGACGACCTTGGAGTTCGGGAACCAGCTGGAGGGCAAGTGGGCGGTGCTGGGGACCCTGCTGCAGGAGTACGGGCTGCTGCAGAGGCGGCTGGAGAACATGGAGAACCTGCTGAGGAACAGGAACTTCTGGGTCCTGCGGCTGCCCCCGGGCAGCAAGGGAGAGGCCCCCAAGGTAAGCTGGGCGCCTGGGGTGGGGCAGCCCCTGGGGCTGTGCCTGTAAACGTGGATGGCATGCGTGACACCTGAGGTTCCACATGCCCATGACTTTTGATGACATGGCTGTCTATTTCTCCGAGCAGGAGTGGGGCAAGCTGGACGAATGGCAAAAGGAGCTGTACAAGCACGTGAGGAGGGGCAACTACGAGACACTGGTCTCCCTGGGTGAGGCCTGACAGTCATTTCTCTGTTCAGTGTTATTAGGGGAGTCCTCAGATCTCTCTTTTCATGCTGGTGGGTTTTAGCACAAGGATATATAAATTACTGGAAACTTTGACCATGCAAAGAGTTATCTCTTCATCCTAAAGATGAGTGCTGGGTGACTGAGTTGTAAGGTCCCCTCCCCTGGCGAAATTCACAGGATACCAGACTGAGGTGGGGTGGCCCCTCACCTAACCAGGGGTGGAGCAAGGCTGTTTCCATTCCCCTGCTGAGGCTTAGAGAAGGCGCCTACCACTGACTCCAGGAGCTCATCCACCCACATTTGAGAAAGGCCTTCTCTTTTAGCTTTCTCTTACTGAGAGATGTGGCCTTGACTGTGACGCTCCTCTGGGTCAATGGAGAATGTGAGCAGACCATGCTTCTTGCAGCCAGTGCTGTCTTCATGCTCGAGACTTTGCTCCCCCAGACCCGAGGCCGTTGCCACTCTCCTCATGTGATACCCCAGAAGGGCTGGGCTCTTTCTTCCTGGGCTTCCTTCCTCTCGGGGTGTTTCTGTGACCCCAGACCTGGAGGCAGTGAGCATCCTTAGTGAGGATGGAGCAGGTGAAGGTGTGATGTTCTATTTCAGTTTGCAGAAATGTATCGCTTCTTAATGTGGAGACTATACTAGAGTTTCTTCACCTTGGCACTGTGGCATTTGGGGCCAGATGATTCTGTGTGGTGGGGAGCAGCATCCTGACCTCCTCACAAGGTGCACCTCTCCTCCAGCCCTCAGGCCTGACAACCAGAAATGTCTCCCTGAGGATAGAATTGCTTGTGGTTGAGAACACTGCTCTGTGTCAATCAGGGAATTTAGTGTCTTGGCCATTCTGGGTTTCCCAGGCTGCTATCCCCAGCTCTGAATGGAACCACATGGGAAAAGCTAACCTTTGTGTCTTTCCTCAGACTACGCCATCTCCAAGCCCGAGGTCCTCTCCCAGACTGAGCCAGGGAAGGAGCCGTGTGGCTGGCGCCGCACAGCCCCCAAGGTTCCAGATGTTCCTGTGGACCCGAGTCCAGGTGAGGAGCTGGGCGGGGGCCAGGGAGACACTGGGCATCTGATGGAAACAGAGGAGTAAAGGTCCAGAGAGGGCATGGCCTTCTAAGTTTTGTTTTGTAGTTGAGTTGTGACCTATACCTTATTCAGCTAACACTCGGGAATACGTCCGAGCGTGGAAACAGATGGCAAACCCAGACTTTTAGGAAAGAAACAGAACCAGTAGCACTGAATTAGTGAAAGTGAAGGAAGGACATTGATAGGGAAGGTAGGAGTCTATTAAAGACAACATTGAGTTTCATGAAGAGTCAGCCTCTCCTCCATCCAAGAACCACATCTCATTGAAATTCATTAGTTGTCTCAGAACATTAACCCATTAGCCACATATTAACCACACGTTTGCTATGATTTAGAACCAGATTGATTTAAGGAGAATCTGAATACCAGGTATCGCTGTCTCAGATTTTCCTGGAGCCAGTCAGCACCTTTGAAAGTTAAGGAAAGGACGGGTGGATGTGTGAGTCAAGCCACATGACTGAAGAAAGCCTGGCGGGGCTGTGGGGTAAACGACAGTCTGTCCCTTGACCGAGGAGACCCGCCTCCTCCTCATCTGTCCCCCCAATGCCTGGGCTTCCCTTTCTTCCCTTCACCTGTGTTGCTAAAGAGTCTTACTGTGTGTAATTTGTGGTGACTGAAATGTGTCTGCTCTGTTTGCTGTTTCATCGCGACTACACTTTCACTTTTCCAAGGGCAGATGGTGTACAGAACCAGCCACACCGTCAGTGGTCAGAGCATTCACCTGTTTAGGTGCCTAGGACAGCCTGAAAGCTAGAGGACAGCATGACAAAGAGGGTTATGACACAGGATCTTGCAGTTTCTTAGTCTGGGTGGGAGGGTCACAGTGGGCTTGTTTTATTACATTTATAACGTGAGTGGTTTCTATACCATCGTTAATAAGAGTGAAAGGGGACCTGGAAATAGGGCGGCTGCTGGTAAGACCCCCACATGCCCTGCCTGCACATCGAGAATTGTGTATGGCCTTAATCCCCACCCGCCCCTGTCCAAGACCGGACCCCACTCACTCATCCCCTCTGGGCTTGGTGCAGCCTCTGTCAGACCTCCTCTCCAACTTTTCTCCAGCTCTAACTGCTGTGCTTTGTGGAACTCAGGTCTCAGCAGGACCTCCAACCCTCAGGCTCTCCTGGGCGTCCCTGCCCCACCGTCCTTGCTCAGATGAGACCTGGGTCCCTGGGGGCCTGGTGTCCTCTGCAGCTTCCCCTTTCCCACATCCCTTTCCCCCGCCCCCCCCCCCCCCTTGTCCTGGCAGGGGCTGCTCTGTGCCAGGCTCCCCCCCCCTTGAATTAAATGCTTTCTGTCTCTCCCCCGCCTTCTTCAGACCTCCCTCACTTATCTCTGCCCCTGCCATCGCTCTTGGGGGGGGGAGCCCCCCCGGAGGGGGGCCCTTTTGAGCACCCTTGGCCCTCTCTTTTTCCTTAAAGTTCCCCACTCCCTTTTTTGCCAACAATCCGGGGGCCATTCCCCCTGATGGTGGGGGGAACGAAGGGGAACTTTTTCCAATCCGCCTAAAATAAAGAAAGGCCCTCCCTTGGTCCCCAGCTTCCCAAAAGACCTTTGGGCCCCCCGCCTTTTTCTATTGCCCACCTTGGACCAATTTCTCTCCTTACCCAAGCCTGGTGTCCGGGGCCTATCAAAATTGTTCCCTTTGTATAGACAATAGGGCCCCCCGCCCCTTTTTTTTCTTGTGAGG